AGCCTGTTTGATAAATACAACAGCCGCACAGGTCTGGCTGGCGCAGTCATCCGTGCCGTTTCTTTGCTAGCACACTGCCTGTGCCAGCTCTCCCAGGCAATCACTGGGCACGTTCTAGGGATATCACAGCCCGGGGGCTGTTTCCAGTAGGCAGTATGGAAAAGATCATCCTGGTTTAGGAGGCAAGACTGTTTATCCATAGGGATCTTACTACACAATGCCACCTGCCTTTGGACAAAGCAAGCCCCTGGTCTGTTTTATTTAGCTGTTTGGGGTAGCCAGTGTCTCAAACAGATCCTCCCATCCTGCCCCGCTCGGTTCTAGGAAATAGTACACCTCTGACCATGCTCTCTGTGTATCAGCCTTGAAGGCTATGCACCCCACTCCTTCTGGATGAAATACATCCATTTAGCATTCTCTTAGGCTCTGCCTCTGGTTTCAGAACCCCCATTTGTCTTACCTCAGGGAGCCAGCATGACAAGATACATGCACTGCTAACGAGCAGCTTAGTCAAAATAAACAGCTATTTACTTATACTTCATCTACCCCTGGAAATACAGAAATGGGAAAGAAAATAATATATTGCCTGGACTAAGTATAGTACTCTCAGCACTGGGTAGGCCCCAGCTACTTGTGATACCTTTCTCTTGTCTGCGGACTGGGTTATAGTCTGCCTTCCTACAGACCCTTCCTCTCTCATCTGCTCCTTGACAAGTGCTTCCTCTTTATTAGGAATTCCCTACAAGGATTCTGCCCTCCCTAACCTGTCAGTCTCCGCTGAGCAGGGCAGAAACTTTGAACAATTACCGTATATTGCTTCAACTGCCAAAGACTGTCCCTGAACAGTTGTCAGACTTACCCGGAGTCTGTGGGAATACCCAGAACTCAGTCACCTTTCTGCCCCTTTGCAGCAGACCACACAAAGGTAATGAAAGAAGCACAGAAGAATTAAAATCAACAGAAAAGAAGATAGGTCCCTTCTGTGTTATTCATGTCCTCTCTCAGACTTCCTGTACTACCACCAGAAGGCTGGGACTCTCACATACTATACATACGCATACTCGGGTAGTCGCAGACAGCCCAGCTGCTCAGCGCTAGCCAGTGTGTAGATTCAGCACTCATCCTCTACCTCTGTAGACTGGCTTTCTAATTGTTATCTCTGAAAGAGCTGGTATTTATTCATTGCAAAATGTTTCTCATTGTGCAGCAGAAAACTCTTATTATTGTCCCAAGCTCTGGAGTAGAATAACGAGGCATTCTTGGTGGAGATTCAAGACTGGGGTTCACTTCTGTCTGTGCTTTGTTACAGCTTAGACCCTATCAGTTTGCAGTGCAAATGCCACCCACGTTTGCTAACCAACTTTCACTCTGGTGATAACTGTATGTTAAATACATGGCCTTATTTAGAAATATCTCAGTGGCATTTACATAGTTCCAGTTCACAGCATTTACTGGACGTCAGTTGTGTTTCATGACACTTTTATCACCCTACCTGTGGAAAACTTTAGACTCTCAGACACCAAATACAATACAGCTCATTGTATTCTGTGAGACAGACCCTGTTTTTTACTAGATTAAAAGTAACTGTGGTGGAACCAAGTTTCCAATACAGTATTTCTAATGCAGCTTGGGATTTAATTTGGTCCCTATTTTTGATGCCTAAAATAGTGCTGGGATGAATTAAATACATGCTAAATTGTTCATTTTGAACTATGTACTATAGTCAAGTAATTATTAAGGAGAATGCTGGAGACAGTAAAGTCTTTTCTGTACCGTGCTATCCAGAAAAGAAAAGAGGTCTGAAATCCTTGCTTCATTTAAGTCACATTGCCTAGAGCAAGGCCAGAATTTTACCTAAAGAATGAAAACAAAGTAAGAGATAAAATAACACAGGAGAGTAGCGTTTTGCAAAGGCGTCACGTAGCATGCAATTGCCCAAAGCTGAACTCTGCAGAGTCATTGTTTCATGACCCAAACATGAAATAGGAAAAGCATTCGCCCTCCCATCGGCTGCCACACTTCTCAAAGGATGGAATTTTCCATCATTTCATAACCTGCAGTGCTGTGATTACTCCTTCTGATTAGGAATCGCAGCCAACTGATAATGGAAGGAAATCTGCCAGACCATATGGTGGAAAATTCCAAGGCATATTAGTACATCTAGTCTGAAAAATACCCCAGCGATGCAGGTTTCACAGGAGAATGTTTATTTTACAAAAGAGTTTCACTTAGTACCATAGGACTAAGAATCCTTCAGAACTGCAGATTCTGTGTAGACAGACAAGCGGGCGGTAATGCAGGCAATTCAGCATGTTACAGGGCCATTGGTAAACAGCAAGATTATTAAGAAATAATTAATCTGAAGCACAATTAGGCTAGTGACTGGCTAGCACTACCTCATTAGACCTTACTTAGCTGTTTTTCTTGATGCATGGTCTGCCCAACTTGTAGTTTCTTCTTTCCATGACCATATCTGCCAAGTTCTTTTTCCATCATCCAATTTACAGACCACATGTTCCTCTCAGCAGTGACACCGGTCCCTACAATCTCGGGCTCCTGGCTGTTATCTGCTTGGCCTATATATCTTACGCACATTTAGGATGGTGGCATATGAACAGCAAACAACAACTGATAGCAGTTGTGAAGGTCCCCAAAAAAGGCTTTCAATCTTCTTTCAGTCTGTGTCTACCCCTCCATCACCTCACTGTTCCTTCAAGTTGTTCATAATGGACTTTGTCACACAGCATTTAGTGAACTTCTTTAGTTAAGGCTCACTCAGTGTAATCTCTTCTTGGAAGGCTTCTGTCGGTGCCCTTTGCCTCCTTCTTCACACCACAGTCCTGAATACTCCTTGCCACTTCCTTCTTGTACTTTCCACCAAAGTACAGCACTTTAGAAATTTCTTGCTCACAAGTCTCCTAGTGAGCCCATTCTTCAGAGATTGCTTTCATGACTACAGTACAAAATGTACCTACATTTGCAATCATGCCAAACACAGAATTTAGTTACGGATAATTTAGTCTCTCTTTAAGGTTTTTGTTCCTGTTTGCTTCTGTAAGGTATTCCCATAGGGCACAAACTGTCTTTTTCTGGCCACCTCCTCCTGCTGTCTTCACTCTCCAACAGCAAATATGGAATTGTGCCTGTGGAATCCATGTTATTTCTCTCATTCCTTCTCATCTTGGCAGTGGGGCTTGGCCTTTTCAATGTTTCTTCCTTCTGAGTGAGAGTACTGAATATAACATCCATTATTTTCCTCCAATGTGTCTGAGTGAGTAGTGCTGAACTGAATCCAAGTCTTACAGGTCTGGCTCCCGTTCATGTTCTGAAAGATGTGCTGATGTCTCTGGAACTGCGTCCTGTGCTTTGGGGCTCAATCCGTATCAGGACGATGAATGCCCAAGCTGCAGACATTAAGTAATTGCCTTCTGCTACAAGGAAACCCCAGAGCAAGGCACAGCAGCAGTGCACCTGATGCTTTACACCTGAAATTAACTAAGTGATGACAGCCTCACAGGCATTCAGGAGTCAAGGATGCCATTTATTTGTCTACATCAGCTACAGGCAATGGGGAAGTGAGAGGTGAAGATTCCCGACACCAAACTGATACAGTTTAGTTGGGATCCTAGTTGCCTTCAGGTTTCTTGGAGGTCAGTAGATCCAAGGCGATGTGAACCAGCCCCTAGTCATGTCTGTCTCTTTCCACTTACCACTATGGTAACTGCACGTCTAAAATTGGTCTCCTTGGTCCCCAACTACATGCCTAGTTTGGTGTGGTGAGGGAGGCTCTGCAGCTTGTATCCAGCAGATTTTAAAAGCGTTCAACTTGTTTTCAGACAAGAGACCTAAGACTGACTGAACAAAAAAGACTAAAACAAAGACAACTGTCCCCTGAGGAGGGGACGTGGAGAGGGAGGTGCTGAGCTCTTCTCCCTGGCATTCAGTGACAGGATGCATGGTAATGGTTCACAGCTGCACCAGGGAAGGTTTAGACTGGACATGAGGAAGCATTTCTTTACCTAGAGGGTGGTCAAATACTGGAACAGGCTTCCTAGAGAGATGGTCGATGCCCCAAGTTTGTCAGTGTTTAAGAGGCATTTGGACAATGACCTCAGCAAAATGCTTTAACTTGGTCAGCACTGAACTGGTCAGGCAGTTGGACTAGATGATCATCGTAGGTCCCTTCCAACTGAAATATTCTATTTTGTTCTGTTCTATTCTATTCTATACAGAATAAAAAAAATAGAACAGCTCAGTATAAGCATTATACCCTAAGTACACCATGTGGATTCTTAGGTTTTTTTACCTCCATTTGCTTCTATGAAGACACTGAATAAAATCCAGAGCAACTGCTCTGCTTTGGACTCCTGTACTGTGATGGTATTATGATTCACTTCACTGCGTCAATTTGTACAACGAAGCCCTCAGGGATTACATATGGGAGGAGAGATTTTTAAATGGTTCAAAAATACTCTTCAAACCTTTAAGCTAATAGGCAAATATGTATTGAGAAAGATCTTAAAAGTGAAGATCTGAAATCATTATCCCTTGGAATTTTGGCACCAGAACTAGGTTCACTGCTAATATTCTGCTTGCTGTTTCTCTAACAAGTCCTGCCATAACTTTCTAAAAGGACCATGCTAAGCTGAGACAGCTGGTACCTCTCCTCCTCTTCTTTTTACTGGACTTTTAATTTCTGTAGTACTTGTTGACGGAAACACTTAACGTGCAAAAAATTGGTATGAATTATTACAGGGTTGTTAGCAGCGTTACATTGTCCTTTGAGATTTTTTTCTTCAAAGACATATAGCACTAAAACATTTTCTCTCTTTTTTTTTTTTTGTTCCCACAGAAAAAGAAGTACAAATAAAGAAATACAAATTTTATGTACTGCAGAAATGTAAGTTTAAGGAAAAAAAACAAACAAAAAAGACACCTATTAATCGGGATAAAGCCTGAAATCCCATTTTGGAAATCAATTTGTAAAGTGACATTAATACATCTAGTACTTACCAAAATAAGTCCTGAGATTAATGAGGAAGTGCCTGTCAGGGCAACATAGAACTTGGGGGTTAATGTGTTCAAAAACATACTCACTGAAAAAGAAAAGAGAGGAAACCATGAGTACAGGGGCAGGACATGTTCTCCATATGTGATCCCTCCTCCTCCCAACTGCTTTCCAATTTCAGTTAAGTTATTACCTTAATTCTGATAAAGAAGACAGTTTAAAGAACATCCTGTTCCATCTGCCTAATGTGATAAAGCAGAGCATTAGACTGCCACATGCAGAATTTTTTTTTCACAACAGAGTCAATCACAAGGCATTGGGAAACAGTTGCACACACGTTTGGGTCTTTCCTATTGACTGACACCGAGTTCAGGATTCCCCATGATACATGGAAGACATTTTACTATCTGCCTTTACTGCTCTGTTGCAGTTAGAAATCTTAGGGGTCAATCTCAATATCCTCGTGTCCTGTATGATCTTGGTGAAACTAGCTGGACCGAATTTTACAAGTCTTTTACTTCTCACTACATTGGTTCCTCACTTATAAAGTAGGAGATACTAGTATTTCCCAAACTCATTCCATTGCATTAAACTTGGTGAACCACTCAGTATGACAACAGTGGCTAAATGCATGAAACAGATCAGGAAAAGACCTAACTGCCTTTCTGATAATTAGCGGTGGAAATCATGACAGCTGCCCAGATTATCTGGAACCTAGCACAGAAGCAAAGCCAGACAAACTGCAAGGAATGGCAGTTCCATCTATATGGGCTTCTGGAAATTCAAAGGGCTTTTCTAGTCATACCACATTTTGGAAGCTGCTGAGAGAATCACCAGGTAGTTGTGCTCAGCCCACCACAGAAAATCCCTGTGGCTTTAGGAGAATAAAATAATCTTTTTATAGGTTTTGGAACACTCTACAGAAGCTACTAGAGAGAACTGTAGCCCTTCCACTAAATTCTAGATATTGAAAGAAAACTCTCAACTTCCCATCACCTCCATCTTCCACAAATGAAAACATTCTCTATTAAACTACACGAGGGTTAGAATATTTTCTGTAAAAAAACCCCTACTGGTCTCATGCTTAACCACTGGCAAAGTATTTCTCATACATATACACATACATAGATTTATACATATATTTGTATATATACATGGATCCATGACTGAAGAGGGAGCTGACAATAGTTAGCAGTTAAATTTAAAAGGCTTGTAGCAGACTACCAAACAGTCATTAAAAAACACAGATAAAAGACCTGGATACATACATGGGAGGCCCTCAGTTCATTCTGCTCCCTTTAGAAATTAAACTTACTGAAATTAAATAATTTGTAGCCAAAAAATGAAGAGAGACAACAACAGCAGGATACAAATCATCAAACATGTGATTAATTTTCCATGACCAGTAAAACAGAAAATTGTTTTCCAGAAATGCATCACTAAAAGAGATTGAAACACTGCAATTCAGCTGCTTTGTTTGGGTTTTGGCTGCATATATTCCGTATTTCTTTTCTTGAAAAAGTCATAAACTCTTAAAATGAAAGTGTCATTTTCTGCTCCACTGGAGTGGCATTAAGCACCAAGCTGATATAATGAAGAACTAGTTTGGTGTTTTTTAATTCCATCATACATTTTCTTTCACAAATGAGTTGGATGCCAGATTCTCAGCTAGTGTAAATCAGCGTAACATCCCCAATTTTACTGTGTGCAACACAGCTACACTGATTTATGCCAGCTTTGGCTCAATTGTTGGGATTTTCCCACATTGTTTTTTTTCCTGTTCCCATTCTTTCTTTTTTTAAATATTTAATACAAGCTGACTTTGAAATAGTAGTCCCTGCTTTCTCCAGCCCCAGTACCTATTAAGAAGGAAGAGGAATGGAGAGAGTGAAATAGTTTGGCTTCTACAAACCACCCATGAGTCTTTTAGAGGAAACATTCCCCATTCTGGAATGAAAACACAAGCCAGAGACATAATCAAACTGTGTCACTGGGGAAATTTCAGACTGCCAGTGAAATTACTTCCTCTGCTCAGGTCAGGATATTCCAGAGAGAGAACGCGCTACGATGGGATATAGATATCCATGTCCCCCATGCTGCACAGCGCTGCTGCAGTGCCAACAACAACATGAAGAGCCAGGCAGCAGGAAACTTCACAGAGGCGCTTTCTCATCCGTTCCTCCGCCATGGCTTCACAGCTCATGGAATGCTGGAATTTTTCCTATTAAACTGGAAACATTTTCCCATTACGCTGGAGGAAATTGGATTTCTGAAGTTGTGAAGCCACCTAAGTCTCCTGTGTTTTAGAAGATTACATATGCGGATATCCATTGAATAAAGTTATAGGCTATTTGCTTTAAATTCCTACTGCCCGTTTCACTATGAAATGCTGCAAAGAAAACAAAGTTTCTTAAGCAGCGATGAGATAGATACTCACTTATCATCACTGACCGCTATCAATGAAATTCATTCAGGGAAATGCATCCCCATTTGGAAGGGCCCTCTCAACAAATCAGCTCCAAAGAGCTCATCAATGCAGCAGAATGAATGAGTCCCTTAAGAAATGCTGTTAGCTTTTCTCTGTCACCACTCTTTTACAAGCAATGTATATGGATTTATAGACAAACCCTCAGATCTGAATGGAGATAGGATTTTATTTATCTGTCATTTACACCAGTGTTACTGTTTTCCTCTTTGCCTGCCATGTATACTGGTGCTCCTTTATGCTCTTACTATAGGCTGCTACAATTCTTCATGTTTACAGCTCAGCCACGGGAACTAGCGAGATGAACAGGTACAACACTGGATGCCTTTAGATTGTATGGGCCAGACTCCCAGCTAACTGGCTCAGCTGATTCACTACAGTTGCACTCCACTACCAGAGCTGCTTATCTGGACTGTATCTCCCTGATCCTTTTCCCATTCTTCTTCCCACTCATTAAATAGAAGAATCTTCCGTTCCACTATGAAAGCTATCAACTTCTTCCAATTATTAACTACTCTCCTAGTCCCTTTGTCTCTATAAATATTATTAACAAAAGCAAACATTTTCTAATAAGAAACAGATCTCCAAACCAGTAAAACTAAGTACCAGAGGATCTGTGGTCAGACTATTTTTATCGTGAAGTCAATGAGAATTCAGTCATTGTTTCAGTGGAAACTACCTCAAGGCCTAGTTCTCATAATATTAATCCAAAAAGTAAAAATGAACCCACTTTTGGGTTATCTGATATGTATCATCATCCAAAAAAGAGCGTTTCTTTAAAGTCAGCATTCTGACACTGGAGAAATCACTATCATATCCAAGGTCTACGTCCTATAGAGGACTCAGGTTTCCTTCAGTGTGTTGCAGTAAACTAGAGTCATTAGATAATGCTAAATGTCCACCTTTCTAAACTTGGACAGCAGTATTTCTCCTTTCTATGTCTATTTGATGAAATGGCGGGAATGAGGAGCGGAGAGAGATTTCTGAGAAACGAGAACTGAAGATCCTGGCAGAAGATAACTGCAGAATAAAGCAGCCAAGTAGAATCACCAGTGAAAGGTGGTACTGTATGTCCTTTCTTCTGAATTCATAACATGCCAGTGTATGCCTAATTGGCTCTGTCCACAGAGGGAAGATGGTATAGTTACTGAGCTTAGAGTATCATCTCTTGTCTCTAACTTGGCAGGACTTAAAAAGGGGATCTAACGAGTATCTAGAGAAAGAAACTTACCTGATGTTCCTACAGTGCCAACTCATTTGAAATTACTGGTAAATCCTAATTATTTCCACAGGCTTTTGACAATGAATGATTTATCCTAGGTGTGTTAGTAGAGATAATAGGATACAGTACAGTACCGTTTGTTGTGTTTTTTAAGAAAACCAGCATGACCTATAAATGCTGTCTAAACAAGCCAAGCATGTCTGCTTATGAGAGGCGCCTGGGCTTACAAATACCCCGCCCCCCTTTCTTCCCTTCTCTTTATTGCTTTCATTTTAATCATGGTTGAGTCATCCAAAATAAGGTACTATTTACATTTCCAAAGGTGCTTACATTACATTGGTAAATCATTCCATCCTATTGTATAATATCTAGGGAAGGAACATTATTGTTAACCGTGCGTGCTCACAGAGATGAATTTATATCCAATTCAGTTCATGGCAGACAAGCTAAAAAAGCACATAAGTCACATTTAATATTCCCTGATGAGGCTAATCAAAAGAGGCGACTGAAATGTTCTTGAAAGCTGATGCCATTTTATTCCTGTTACATATGTTATTCATTGCCAATACTCGTGATTCATTCTGAACATGGGAATAAACAAGAGATGAAAAATCCAGGTATTCTTCAAGTGACAAAATCCTCAAATCATATAAAATGTATGACTGAAGGTGATAAAGCACTATGCTGCTTTACAAATTTCTTGAAGGACTTGCAGTATTCAGATTTCAAGCATGTGAAGAACCACAGTAAGAGGGAAATACTGGGGTTAAACTGCTCAAAGTATCACTGTGCTGCTGTATCAGTTAATTGGATTACAACATCATTAGGGGAGGGAGCGTTGCAAACTACCTACTATTCACACATATGGATCTACTAAAATGGCTGCCCTACTATTTGAAGCTATCAAGACTTTTTTAACTTCTTCACACTTCTTGAAGAAATTACCAAAGAAGAAGCAAGCATTCAAAATTTAAGAACGCTGCAGAGTGGGTTTCATTTTTACTTGAGTTGTTGCAAATTCTACACAACCTCCTTCTACAAGGCATTTTGTCTAGATCCATTTTCAAAACCTGAAAAAATCTGTCACTCAGCAACAAACACGTGGCCATTGCAGACAGAAACAGCCGGTGTGTCTGCGCTGTGGACACAGAAATCCAGATGCCCACTCACTTTGTTCAACCACCTACTCTTGTCCTAAAGGCATGATGCTGAATGAGAGTCGCATTCAGATGTCTGGAGCCTGAGCTAATGGCCAGTGAAGTGGTCTGTTCCTCTTAGCAAATGCTGGATCAGAGCCCAGGTGACAGAAAACTGGTCGTGTGCCAAAAGCTACCTATTACTTCAGATAAATAAGGAACTCTGATTAGCTACACAGACTCATGCA